CAGCACAGTGGGGCTTGGAACTTGCTAACTGGCAGCCCCAGGGCCAGATCTGCCCTGCAGATGGGTTTTGTGGGGCCTGCTGGGTGTTTTGGTTTTTGTTTTTTTTTTTTAAACATTTACAAATACTTTTAGATGGAGAGGTTTCACAAAAACAGATGTCTGGCTTTTATTGAAAATTGGAAAGCATTTCTAACACTGCACCCAGGACCCCATCCGGCAGCCACTGGCTGGGGTGGGGCAGTAGCTCGCTGTTCCCCCACACCTACCCCGCCCCTGTTGCGACAGCTGGCTCCGCCACTCCTCCACCGGTGGCCTCTGTGAGCGCGGAGCTTGGCCCCGTGGCCGGCTGGTGCTGTGACAGAGCTGACTCAGTGCTGGAGGAAGCCCGAGGGAACCTGGCCTGGAATCTCAGGTTCTGGAGAAGAGCAGGTGGATGTCCCCTTTCCTGTGTGCCCTGCAGGCCCCGGTGCACACGATGGATGTTCAGCAGAAAGAGGTCCCAGAAACACAGACCCAGAGGTCACTGGGGCCGGGGAAGTGGAAGCCAGTGACCCAGGGAGAGTGTAAACAGTATGTATCAGTCAGGGTTCTCCAGAGAAACACGTGTGTGTGTGTGTGTGTGTGTGTGTGTGTGTGTGTATGTTAAGAGATTGATTTTAAGGAACTGGCTCTCGCAATTGTGGGGACAGGCAAGTTGGAAGTCTGTAGGGCCAGCCGGCGGGCTGCACACTCAGGGAGTGGATGCTGCAGTCCGGAGCCAGGATGTCTTCCTCAAAGGCCTGCAACTGATTGTATGACCCCACATTATCGAGGCTCATCTTTATTTACGTTAGCTGGTTGTAGAGGGTAAGCACGTCTACAAAACACCTCCGCATCAACACAGACGAGGGTTTGATTAAATAGCTGGGTACGATCACCTAGCCACGCAGACACCCAAACCTAAGCTGCGCTGTGATAAGAGCTGAGGGTTGAGGAAGGAGGCCAGGTGGGGAGGAGGTGGGCGGGCGGTGATGGGAGAAGTCCCGCCAGGACTGCAGATGGGAGCACAGGTGCATGGGATGCCAGGAGGGTGACATCAGCTGGCTCTTTCAAGATATCCTATATAATAAAAGGCTCGTATGCAAATTGTTCCCTCAACTGGGAGTTCAATGAAGAGTTTGACCAGGAGGCAGGGCTGTCAGCAAACCGCCTGTGGCCCTCTCCCCCTGGTTGGCCCCACCCCCAATTGGCCCCTCCACCCTGATCGGGGGCAGGGTCGGCCAGCCAACTGCCAATGGCCTCTCCTCCTGGCAGCCTGGCCAAATCAGCCCCCATTGGGACGTGCAGGCCAGATGCCACCCATGCATAAATTTGTGCACCAGGACTCTAGTTTGACGATAAAAGGGGTAAACTGAGGAGCAACCAAGAAAGGTTTCTTTTTGGTCTGCATTTTTATAGGTGAAGGAGAAGGAAGGAGCCAGTTAGGAGAGAGAGACAAGGTGGAAAGGAGCAGGGAGTGGTGGGATTTCTATTTGGACAAGAGACCTTTCTCAGCAATTGAGTCGCCAAGAAAGCACAGCCTCTATGTGGGCAATCGAGGACATCGGGGCCAAGCCCTGGCTTGACAGACAAGGACAGGAAAGAGTGTTCTAGAAAAGGCCCCTTCCAACAGGAATGCTTTCTCCGGTCCCCTCTCCTCCTTCAGACTGGCTTCCCGTTGCACCTGGAGTCCTGCTCCCTTGCTCTGGGCTTCCGGTCTGGGGGGATTGGTGCAGATGGCCCGTGGCCGCCTCCCACGCCCTTCCAGGCCTTCCACTGAGTGCGATGGCCTCCTGCTGGCTCCTCCTGCGCTCCTCTGGCCCGGCCCCTCCTCCCCTGCCCAGCACTGTCCCCAGGGCCTGAAGCAGGTCCGTCTGGCTTCCACTGGTGGGCAGTGCTGGCCAACAGGCAGCTTGAGAGTCTCAGGAAAGCAGGGGCCCGCCCATAACTGGGGCGATTTAATGTACCATTTTCCAGGAGTATACAGCATGGCAAATCCGGGCCATCCTTACACTGCCTTTGTGGTGTTCTGTTGTTTTCCGTTTTCGTGTGGGGAGAAGGAACCTCGGTTTTTTCCATGTTAGAGCCTCCAAGGGATTAACCCAGTCCTGCCCTCGCCCTCCGCCCTCTGCAGGATGTGGTGGCCCAGCCCAGGGCAGGGAGAGCTGTTCAGGAAGGGCACACAGACACACAAAGGGCGTGTGCGCTGCTTGGGCTTGTGTGTGTGTGTGTGTGTCGCCTCCAAATCCAAACATGCTGAAACACGGAAAGCAAGGTATTTGCCTGAGTGACTCAGACATGTTCCAGCATTTTCCCACAGGCTCCTGCACGGCCCAAAATAACTGCAGGCCTGGAGCCCGTCCCCTGGCCTATGATTGCGTTTGTATAATGTTACAGAACAGCGGGCAGCGCGGCCACTCACATGGGAGCCGCCGGAATGCACAGCCCAGAACGGAGACCGTGCCGCACGGCCAGGCTGGGCCCCGAGGAGAGCAGAGACCACAGCGCGACAAAGTGGGGACTCACCAGGACCCTCCCCATCACCGTGAGGGGTGTGGGTGGTGAGAAGAGAAAAAGGCCCGGAGACAGGACACAAACGTGCCCAGCCTTCCACATCTGGGGATTGCGAGAGCGAGCTGGTGGGACAGCTAGCCCTAAGGCTCGGCCATTGACACTTGACATTTGTTTCTGGATAAATGTCAGCCTTGGAGTCATTAAGATCTGAGTGGAGGGAGCTTTTAGGGCCTCCTGGCCCCCCAGGGTGCCTGTGTGTCTGGTCTGGATAACAGTAGGGAATAAGGAGGTGTCATGGTGGACCTGCCCTCAGCGGGTTGGCAGTGTTCTGGGAATGACTGAAGATGTTAAAGCAGCTGGGCTCTGGCAGCTAGACCACAGGCTGGGGGAGTCTGGGGAAAGTCTGAGGAGGGCAGTGCCAGGGCGTGGGTCAGATCTGGAAAAGGGGGTAGAGAGTGAGAGCGCAGACATGCCCGGTGGGAGGGAGCTGAAGGGGGATGGGGACACTGAGCAGGGAGAAAGAATGGTCTAAAGGCCTTGGAAACCAAAGCCGGGGATCTGGGCGCTAAAGGCTGCGAGCATGGACACCATTACCTGCTAATTCCAAATCACTTGCTTTCTCTGGGAGACAGGAATCATCTCACTGGACTTGAACACATCACATGCCCTGACGTAGGAGGAGGTGAGAGGTTCTAGGTCCTTTCCCTCTTGGCCACCGCAGCCCCACAGGTGCTAAAGAAGATGGTGAGGCTAACACGGCCTTCAGTGTCTCGTGGGCCTGGATTCAAATTCTGCCTCTGCTTCTGGTTCCTTGGGTGTAAGCACGTCACTTCCCGTTTCCTCGGCCAGTACACGAGGATATTAAGAGTTAACGTCTGCCACGTGCCAGGCACTACTGTCACAGCTTCACCGGTCTGAATTCATTCAGTCCTCCTCCTCCTCCACCCGCCCACATTCTACAGCGGAAGGGACCACCAGGAGGGAAAGGACCATGTACCTTTTCCATGGCCCTAGAGCTGTGATCCAGGAGTTCCGATTCAAGCATGTGTCCTAAACTATCATTCCTGTAAAGGGCATCGGGAGGGTTAAATAAGCCAACACCCCCAAGCGCTCGCCAGATCCTCCGTGGCTGTCAGTCCCCTGACTTACAGGAATAGACAGTCATGTCAGTAAGAACCTTGCAATCAGCTCTATGCCCAGCCCGATGCCCCAAGCAAAGCCCAAGGGCCACCCCACAGGTCAGATGAACTGCCCTAATCTCCACCCATCTAATTTGGAAGATTGAAACTGTTCTAACTTCGTTCCAGGGCTACCTACTGATGTTGAGCGATAAAAGTAACATCGACCTAATTCAGTCAGCACTCCAGCAGCCTTAATGCCCAGGTCCAGTAAGAAGAGATGCCCAAGTCCCAAAAAGAAATGGTCACACCCTTTGATTCAATTTAGACACAGCCCATAGGTCCTCCCTCCGCCTCTCCATTTACACGGTTGAGTTTCTGGAATCGGTGCGTCTTGAGCAGTCAGCTTGCACTCTCCAGATGAGTTCACCCAGGAATGCTGTGGGCAGAGAGTCCCATGGGAATAACTTCACCCTTGCTCAGCAGGCTAAGAGTGGCAAGCGTATCGGTGTGTATTTTGGTGCGGAGCCGTCAGGCAGGCACCAACGTTCAACTCCATACAGTCACGGGGAATTCAGCTCGGGGCTCTGAAGCCAGCGTGCTCCCTGGGAGTTCCAGGCTCATCGTTCTCTCCCTCTCCCTTTCAGGCTCACTGGGAAAGCAGCGAGGGAGACATCTAGCAGAACCTCCACCGGCCGGGGCTGTGTCCTTCCCTGGCTCTTAGCGGACACACACAGAAAGCGGGACCTTCTTCATCCAGCAGCTTCGAAGTTCATCTGATCCCCAACCCCAGTGGCCTCTAGGAACCCAATCTGGGAAGATAAACCTGTTCATGAATCGTAACGTAAGTATCTGTGTGTTCCGATGACCTTAGGCTCTACAGCAGTGGTTCCCGACCTGTGGGTCGGTTGAGAACCGCTAGCAGGGTCGCCTAAGACCATCGGAAAACAGATATTTCCATTACGATTCATTCACAGTAGCAAAATGACAGTTATGAAGTAGCAACGAAAATAATTTTATGGTTGGGGGTCACCACCACGTGAGGAGCTGTAATGAAAGGGCCGCGGCACTAGAAAGGCCAAGAACCATGGGTCTAAGGCAGGGTGGGCAGAGTGGCAGACTGGCTGGGCAGTCTGAGGAGGTGTGGGACACACATCCCCAATACCCGAGTTCACAGCCCTGCGTCTGCCCTGGATGCGGTGTCACCCGAGGCTCATTTCCCGCGAGCCGGACGGGCAGAGGGCGCGGACCCGGCACCCGGCACCCGCCACCGACGGCCACTGAAGCAGCGAGACCATGGCGATGTCGCCGCCGCTCTCGTCAAAGCTTTACAGACACAAAAACGCCGAGTCACATTATCACTTTATTTTCTTTTTTTAAAATGTAACAGTAAAGGCATCCAACATACAGAATTCCTGCGGCTCCTTACACATTTTGCTCTAAATTAGGCATTTTAGCTTCGAGATGAAGAAAATCATCCCATTTAAAATGGCAACATTTCTGAAAAACAGGTTTCATACTTGTGATGGGAAACTTCCTTCCCATCTATGCTCCTCCCCAAACTCCTCCAGTCCAGAGCTGCGGGAGGACAGTTAAACCCTGGCTGACGTGGGCCCGTGCGGAGGGCGGGCCCCGAAGCAACAAGCGCTGCTAACTTTTGAAACAAGCAACTTCTTTATTGTACAGCACAAGAATCCGGAGAAAAGCATCATTTCCCTTTAACCCTCTCACTGTCTGCCTCCACCCAGGTCTCTGCGTACCAAGCGGCGATGAGTAGTAAAAACCTATTGATTTAAAGTCCCTGAAATGCATGCAACTGAGAACTCCCTAACGCACACACCCAGTTCCCGGGCTCCGCGCGGCTCTTTATTGAGATGGTGGTGCTGGGTCACCAGCGGGGTCTGTCGTGCTACCAGTGTTCGGAGCGGCCGCGGCTCTGGCATCTGGCTGCTGGGCTTCGGCTTTGGGCTCCTCCCCTTCTCCAGCGCTTTTCTTACCCGGGTCTGCGGCGACGGCGCCCATGATTTCCTGCAGCGGCGGGTCGCCTTCAAGGGAGCTGGGCTGGAATTCGTAAACCTGGACTTGACCCGGGACATCGATCGCCTTCTGTTCAAGTTTTTCCAGGATGGTCTGCACCTTCCTGACGCCATCTCTCCTGGCCTGACGGACGTCAGCGCGACCTTCAGGGTCTACCGAATCCAGAGCCAGCAGCTCTTTGGTCAGATACTCTTCGATCATCAGGTACTTTTTGTCCGTCTTCTTGCCTTCGAAGCTGTCCACAGCCTGCTCCAGCCCCTGCACCTTCTGCAGGATGGCTTCCACTTTCAGCACGCCGGGGTGTTTGGGGGGGGCCGCAGCCGCTCCTGGCTTCTGGGGGGTGGCTTCTGCGGGGGCAGGGCTGGGGGCTGCCGCCACATTCTTGGGGGACGCGGGGACTGCGGCAGGGGCGGGGCTGGGGGCCGGAGCGGGGCTGGGAGCGGGGCTGGGAGCCTGGGCAGGAGGAACCTTTACTTCCACCTTCTCCGAAGGCGGCGGGGGCTTCTGAGCAGCAGGCTGGGAGTCCGGCTCCTTCCGGATCACCTGGATGGGGATGTGTCCAGCAGGGAGGTCTGAACCTGCCGGGCCGGGCCTGCTTTCCGGTCTGTTTTCAGGCTGTGGGACAAACGAAGCTTCTCGATGGGTCATGGGCTGCTGAGAAGAGGCAAGGACAGATATTTTTAATAACTGGCTGGGAGTCACAGGATGTTGTTCTTAGCTAGCAGGATACTGATTAGAAACCTGGGGAATGTTTTTTGTTTGTTTGTTTGTTTTTTAAGTTTCACAGTACAGAGATTTTCAAAATCAGTAACAACTGTTACAAAATAAACATGCACTAATCATGTGTGTGACCAAACCATGTGTCATGCTTTCATTCATCACCTTGGTCTATTAGTGTGTGACCTCTCACTGGGTTTTTCTGTAGATGGCATTCTTAGGGGAATAAAAAAGAAAACCAATATAATTTTCAAAACAGGAAACACTAAAAGCTCATGCTGACCACTGAGCTAGTCTAGCTCAAAGCCAAGTCCTGGGCGCCTCGGCCTCCTGGGAGATGCAGCTGTGGAGGGGATTGCCACTATCCCCTTCCTTACGCTGTGGGGACCGTTCCTGCTCAGGGGGTGACCTTCCCATCTCCTGTTTCAGAAATTATCATTTCTTTTAACCTAGGATAGCCTAGTGGTTTCTGCCCAGAATGATATATGTATATTTTTGAGACTAAGCAAGAGGCCCCAGACAGCTAACCCTGCAGGAATTTTGCTGGGTACATCTGGGCCAGAACTGCACTAACTTCCGGCTGCCCTCTGTAACGTGACTGTGAGTTAGAACCATACTGTTTTTAATGAGCTACCCTTAGAACCAAAACATTTGGCTCTTCCCCTTTAGGTGAATATCTAAAACCTCTTAAAAACCCTACACCCCAATTCCATCCACTGGGAAATAAGAACTGGACTACGTTATTTCTAAAGTATTTCCAATTTAAAATACTAAATTCCACTATAATGTCCCATTGGCCCAGTTCCTTACAAGCCTCCAAAAAGGGATCTTTGAACAAGCTATTATATCTGGGTGGAGGCTGGGGCAGGGTTTATCAGGGTTAAATGTTGTTTCACCATGTGTGGGGAACATGTGGGAGACACGAGGGGGAACTCCAGCTCTGTAAGTGGTACCTCTTTCTGGGATCACTGGGCCCGAGTAAGGACCTGGTGGGCACTCCGCTGTCCGAGTGCCAGCAATCTCCTTTTCCACCAAATCTCTCCTGCCAACCCAGACACCCTCAACTCTGGCCCTTACCACTCATGACACGTCTCTTTGGATTTTAAAATGGCTGGGCCAGCCGAAACCAGTTTAGCTCAGTGGATAGAGCGTCCGCCTGCGGACTGAAAGGTGCCGGGTTCGATTCCGGTTGCAGGCATGTACATTGGTTATGTACAGGCACATCCCCAGTGGGGGGGTGTGCAGGAGGCAGCTGGTCGATGTTTCTCTCTCATCAATATTTCTAGCTCTCTATCCTTCTCCCTTCCTCTCTGTGAAAAATCAATAAAATATATATATATATTTTTAAAAAGGGGGTGGGGAGGGGCTCTGGATGTGCCACTATTTGTAGTAAAAAGACACTCTGCCATTTGTTTACAGAGGGACTTCCTTCTGAAAACTGTGGCAGAGAATTCATGCAGCTGCTCAAGGTGCAGCCAGAGGGGACTTAGGGCTGCTGACTGCTCTGCTGCTGAGCCCACGCCTGTCTCCGTGCCCAGAGCAGAGAGAGTCCCATCCACCCAGACGGCGACTCATGGCCAGACAGCACGGTCCTCCACCACAGAGGAGAAGGGGGAGGGGTGGTCTCTGTCGCCAAGCTCGCAGCTAAGGCGAGGATAAAAGCAAGCACTGGACCTGCAGAGCAATCCCGTGCTGCACCGGAAGGGACTCCGAGGCGCCGTGAGAAAGGCCAGCCTGGCTTGTCCCTGGCAGGACAGGGAGAACCTGGACTGTGAGGGCATTTCAAGGAGCGGTCCAGCCTGGGCAGAGGCTCGGACGGGGACGGACAGAACGGTCGGGGTGGAGGAGGGGGTCTGGAGGAAGGAGACAAGCTGCCTGGAGGGCGCGGGTGAGGCTGTGGCTGGGGTGTGGAGGGGCTGGAGGGCCCTGAAGGGCGGGCACTAAGACACCTGGGCCCTGGGTGTGGGCGTGAGGACGCATTCTGCCCAGCTGCTTCCCTCTGGTGGCTGGAGCCTGCCCCCAGGGCAGATGCACGGACAAAGAGCAAACGCAGCAGAGAGCACTGAGGGCGGTGAGGGGCCATTCAGGATCTCCCTTCCCCCGTTCGTGTGGGACGGGGCACGAGCTCCCGGCCCCTAAAGGGGTGCTGCGGGGCCACGTGCACACCGGCTCGCCTACCTGCGGCCTGCTGACCACGGTGTGCACCCGCACGGGCGCCGGGGAGTGCAGGGGGGGGCCGCCTCTGGCCGGAGAGCTCTCCCGGCTGGCCGCACCCAGGCCGGGCGGCCGGAACGGGGAGGCGGCCCGCCGGGGCTCCCCCTCGTCCCCCTGCGCCTTGTGGTACACGGGCTGGTGGGCCTGGTACTCCCCCTGCGGGGCGGGCAGATGGGTCTTCTGGGCCTGGTGGAAGGCCTGGGCGGCCGGCCGGGCGACGTTCTGCTCGTGGATCACGGGGATGGGGATGTAGCCTCGCGGGAGCTGGTGGCTGCCCAGGCTGCTCCTGCCGGAGGAGGGCGGCAGGCTGGCCGAGGAGGAGGAGGAGGAGCAGTCCGAGGTGGCCGGAGACTGGGATCGCTGCGAGACATAAGGTAGAGGTGTGGCCCCATGCACCCCCCTCCTGGCCCTCTGACCCGCCTCCATTGTGTGCTCAGGGCAGCAGGTCTCACAGGCACCCCCATCCTGGGCCTTTCTGCTTTCAGACTGAGTGTTTGGGCTGGGAGCCCTGCAGTCACGGGGCCTGGGCTCCAGTTCTCACCAGCTCCACCGTCTCTGAACTGGTCACAAACAGAAAAGGGCACCCTCCCCCGCCCCCCACTGGGCTGGCCTGGAGCTTAAGGCAATCTGTGTGTGCTGAGCAGAAGGCCCACGAACAAGACACATTGTATTTGTTATTACGTGTCGCTTCGTTTCCTTTTCCTGTTAACCCCCTCCCTGCCGCTCCACAGAGAACTCAGCTGGGCACAGGGAGCTGTGTTCCCCTGCGTGGCCTGAGCCAGGCCAGGCCCTTCCCTTCTATTCAGACAGGAAACCAGGAGGGCGTGTCCCCGCTGGCTTCTGAGGGTCCTGCTAGCACAAACCGGTTAAATTCCTCTGATGTGTCACCTTTGACTTTTACAGCAAAAACATTACAAGTATAGCAACTGCTTCTCCAAGAAATGCAATGAACTTCCCAGTGTTCTGCGTTAAGTATAGCCTTTTACCCCCAAGCAGACAGCGAGGCCAGGCCCCTGGACCAGAGCCGAGGGCGGCAATCCCAGCCCTGGTACAGACACGGAGCAGGAATGCGTGCCTAAGACCGTGCCAGTGTCTGCAGACAGGAAAACCAGGAGCACTTACCGCTCAGGAACCCTCCCGGGTCCGCTGGCCCTCAAATCTCGGCTAAGCACCGGATTCAGAATTAGTGGCTTCAGCCTTAAACCCGATCACAGAGCAGCTGCCTTCCCCACTCCTCATTCTGGATTTCCATTTAAACCTGGGGCACTGTGAGGGCAGCTACGCTGTCTCATTTATAGTTAATCTTACCTGTAAGCATTGAACTGAACTAACAAATAGGTCTGTGCTTCTGAACGAGAGAGGCCAGCGAAAGCAGCATCAGGTTAGGAACCAGACCGCCCGGCTCTCGTCCTAGCAATGACCCATCTGGACCAAACTCCTGACCCTTCTGAGCCGCAGCCCTGAACTGCAAAAATGAGCCAGGTCCCTGCCCACCCGACACACCTGTGACCGCTGGCGGGCAACGTGGGGCCGTCGAGCTGGCTTTGCTGGGTGACCTCCGTGCTGCAGGCCAGGCCCAGATGCCCTGCATCTTATCAGGTGCCAGGCCCAGGGTGCTGGCAGAGCCTGATGCCAGCCTAAGGGACACCAGACCCCCGGGTCGCATGCACAGGCCCCTCCTTACCTCGGGCCTGTGGGCGGCGGGGGGCTGGGCTGCCGCAGCTGCTCCCGCCTGTCCGCCCGGCTTGTCCGGCGGGGCGGCCTCCGAGGCCTGCAGGGGGGACTGGGACCGCTGGGGGGCCGGGGCCGCCTCGGTGCGGAACCGCTGGGCCCCGGGCTGAGCAGCAGCAAAGAAGTGGTGCGGCGGCCGGCTCTCGGCGCCTTCGTGCAGGACGGGAATGGCAATGTAGCCTGGTCGGAGCTGCGGGTACACCACGTGGCCCTCCCTGGCGGGCAGCAGCCGGGGGCCCTCCCGGGAGGGGCCATTTGCAGAGGACAGAGTTTCCTAGGATAAAAGGAGACACGCAGACGGTTAGATATTAGGATGGAAACATGCTGGAGAGGGAGACACAGGGTGCTGAGCGCCCCCAGCACCAGCCAGCTCGCTGCCCCCACTCTGCCAGGCCCCCCTCCACAGGTTAGGAATCAGAGAAGCGAGGGGATCATGGCGAGGTGCCTGCTGAGCACGCGCATCTCCCGCGCTGGGAAGGCAGCCAGCACCGGCAGGAAAGCCACTGTCTCCCAGATCTCCAGGGACCCAGAGGCGAGAGGGTCCTCCTTCAGGCCCAACTCGCTAAGTCATAGCAGCTTCTCTGCTTCCCCCAAGGTCCTCCCGGCCCAAGCCAGTCTGGCTCAGCGGAGAGAGCATCAGCCCTCAGACTGAAGGGTCCCGGGTTCGATTCTTGTCAAGGGCATGTACCTTGATTGCAGGCTCGGTCCCCAGCCCTGGGCGGGACATGTGCAGGAGGCAACAAACTGATGTGTTTCTCTCACATCGATGTTTCTCTCTCCCGCCCTCTCTCTCTAAAAAAAAAAAAAAAGGAAAAATACCCTTGGGGAGGATTAAGAAAGTAAAAAAGGCCCTTGGGCTTCCTAACAATGCAGAGTGGTGCTGGCCTCAAATACGGAGAAGGGGCAGCGGGGGAGGCTGCCTCCTCTGGAATATTTTCAGAACGAGGAGAGAGAGGGGGGGGGGGGTAGAAGCAGCACAGGATGAGAACAGACCCCGGGATCACATGGGCTGGGTCTGATGCCCCGAAGCCTGCTTGGTGGGGCGCGGTGGGGTCCCCCGTGTCTTCTCGGGGAGTGCTCCCTTCAGAGGCCTGGCTATTTTGGGCCTGCAGCAGGCCACCTCCCAGATGTCCCACTGAGAGATCTGGTTTCAGATGCCAAGGCCGGCCAGTCCCTCCCGGGCAATGTCACTTCTCACCAAGCCGAGGCCAGGCAACTGGAGCCGGGAGCCCAGGCCCGGTCCCGCCCGGCTCCCGAGCATCACGAGGGTCGGGGCTGTGGATTCCTGCCCTTAAGCACATCGGAGCGGACCAGCCATTGGGGAGAGCGAGCCCCTTCAGAAGGCACCTCTGAACCCAAACAAATGCCAGGAGCCGAGCTTCCAGGAGCCTGCGGGGGGAACTCGCTGCCAGTGGAGAAGCCAGGGCCGGTCTGCACAGAAGCCATGGGCCACTGATTGTGCGTGTGTCCGTTTGTGAGCACCAGGGCAGACCCGGAATTCAGGCCTTTCCAGCCGGCAGGCTGCCCTGCTGCCGAGCCCCGCCCAGGCCCGGCGCCCGCGGAGGCGGTGCCCGGTGTCCTTGGGCACAGCGAGAGGCACCTCAGATTAGACTGCCCACGTGCTCGGCGGCCGCATTATTTTAGCTGCTCCAGTCTGAGGTCACCCAAGAGCAGGGAGTGGGTCCAGGCTTCACATTCAAAACCGAATTCCTGCCGTGAGACTGGCACCAAGGGGAGGCGGCGGCAGCACCCAGCCCTGTGCTGCGGGTGCCCGCTCCCAGCATGCCGCCCGGCTCACCGGCCTGGACCCGTGGTGGGCGGCCTGTGCTGGCTGCCCAGGGGCACTGCTTCCCCCGGGAAACCACAAAGCCTCCCGCATCCGCACCCTCCCGGGCTGAGCCGGTGGCAGGCCCTCACCCACCGACCCCTCCTGGTGAGGGGAGCGTCTCCCCCGAGGGCTCGGGCCCGGTGCGATGAGGGCCACACCGGCAGCGTGGTCCTGCCCAGAGGGGCTTCCACGGCAGCTCAGCCCTGGCCGCTGGGGCCCCGCTGGCCGGATGTCCCAGCCCCAGCGTCATCCAGAAGTGAGCCAGGGGTCCTCAAACTGTTTAAAGTGGGGGCCAGATCACGGTCCCTCAGAGAGCTGGAGGGCCGGACTATATGAACTACTAATTCCTACTGTAACACCTCGGCTGCGCTCAATGCCCAAAAAACCTGGCGGGCCGGATCAGACTCCTCTGCGGGCCGCATGTGGCCCGCGGGCCGTAGTTTGAAGACCCCTGGCAGACGGTCATTCTGCTGTTCAGTCTAATTAGCATATTAGCTCTTTATTATATAGGATGTCACCCTTATAAATTCAATTAAAAAATAAACAAGCAAACAAAACACATGAGCCTCAAGTCTAAAAGGCAGCAACTTCCCTACACTATGGTGGGGTTTTGTTTGGCAAATCCCCGCTTTGGGTAAATTAATAAATCACACCAGTTTTACAGGGCAGACAGCTAAGTACGTCCACATGATGGGTCATTTAAACCAGGAACGAAACTCCCGCCTATGACAAGGTCAGTACCAGGAATGCAGACCCACCTGCTAATGTGTCACTGGGGCCTGACCCACAGCAAGGGCTTCAGTGCTTACTAACTAAATTGCCCTTATGTGAGGATCTGTTTAGGGAGAGGGAGGGAGGGAGGGAGGGAGGGAGGGAGGGAAGGAAGGAAGGAAGGAAGGAAGCAGGGAAACATGGACAGGTTGCCTCCCAGAGGCACCCTGACTGGGGATGGAACTGCCACCTCCAGGCGCACAGGACACTCCACCAGCTGAGCAGTCCGACCAGGGCAGGAATTGTTTTCCAGGGGAGCTCAGCTCATTGTCCTTATCTTTGGCCAAAGACTAAAAGATAAGGATTTTTGAAAGGATTTTGTTCCTTCAGAACACCCAGGAAATGAAAAAACAAAACAAAAAAACCTTTAAAAAACACCAATTAAGATATAGCTAACACCCTGACTCCGCTGCCTCTCTCGCTGCATTAATGTACAAAATGAATTAGTTAATTCTCCTTCCTCATTTGCACACACATTAAAATCCTCCGAGGTGTGTCTCAGAGAGCACCAGACACCTCAGAAGGCAGCCAGGACAAAAAGCAGGAAAAACCGCCCCATTCCTCTTGGAGAAGCCTGAGTTTGGAGCTGAGCTGGTGAGCCCTGGAACTTAATGAGCCTGTTTGCTCAGCAGCACGTCTACCTCAGTACTTGTTTGTGATCACAATGTGGGAGCGAGGGGACAGCCAGGGGAGGGGAAGGAGATGCACGGGGTCCTAACCCAGGGTCTGTCCTCCACAGGTGTGCCCCCTGAGCAGCTCCAGCCCCTCTGGGGCTCAGAGTCCTCAGCTGTAAAGGAAGGGGAGGCCCAGATGCTTTATAAAGTAGTGTTTCTCAGACTCGGGGGGGCTTCAGAGCACCCAGGAAACGCAAACAGAAAACCCAAAACAAACTGCTAGGCCCAGCCCCAACCAAGTCTGATTCGATAGGCATGGCCCGCCACCCAGCAGGCACTGAGAACACTGATGGGAACCAGTCCCTCCAGCACCACAGGCTCCTGGCCTCTGATTCCCAAGGCCCCGTACTGATGTAGTTCGTGCATGAAGCTCAAAAACAGGGGAAAGCGACCTCACGGAAATCTAAGAGTCCACTCCTCCTGCTCCGGTTAAGTCACATCAGGTGCTGTCAGTGCAGTGGGCAGCCCATGGGTGACAGAAATCCTATCAGAAACCGCTGGGACTCCGGCGCCCCTCACGTTTCACAAACAAGAGGAGGAGGAAGCTGAGCCCCCCAGGACTCCTGCCTGAGACGCAGGGCAGGAACAGGCCTCGCCACCTGGAGGCACATGCTAATTACTACCGGGGTGTTATACGTGCTCGGCCTTAGCTGCTTTGGGGGCCTCGGCTGCTCTGGGGACGACTGGGGAGCAGGAGTGCCTCAGCCCATCCGCAATGAGTTCCCTGAACCCCAAAAACCTGTCCCTCTGCAAGCCCCCAACCCCAGCTCCACGGTACAGCCCACCGGCGTGGCGAGCGGAGGGCCAGCAGCAGGGGACAGGCCTGCCGGAGTGCCGCCGGCGCTGGAGTCTGAGGTAGGACACAGACGCCAATGACGGGGTTTTCAGGCCGGAAGAGCCTTCGCAGTGGCCAGGCGCTGATTTTTTTACTAATGACACTTCAAGACTTCTACAACAAAGGAAAAATATTCGGGAAACAAGAATCCTGGGACTGCCCGTAGATCTAGGACCGAGACCAGAATTAAGTGGCTTGGCTCACCTCACCCCGCAGGAAACAAAACAAAAGACAAGCTTCCTTCTAAAGCAAACAGAGCTGAGCTGCGACATCCACCAGCCTTCCGTGGTGTTACCGGCCACAGAGATGAGTAAGTACTGCCGGGCACAGGGGCTCGGTTATACCATGTGCACCGAAAGGCTGCCAGTTCACGTCCCGGTCAGGCCACATACCTGGGTGATAGACTAGATTTCAGGCTGGGGCGCATACAGAAGGCAGCTGATCAATGTTCCTCTCTCTCTCCCTCTGTCTTCCTCTCTCTCTAAAATCAATAAAAATATGCATTAAAAAAGAAATGAATTAAGTATTTATTGCTATCCTATGTAACCTATTTAATAAAAGGCTAATATGCAAATCGACCAAACGGTGGAACCGATCACATGATGCACACTGTCCACTCAGTGCAGGAGCTGCCCCCTGGTGGTCAGTGCGCTCCCACAGGGCGAGCTCCACTCGGCCACAAGCAGGTAACGGCCGGCCAGCACAGCGGGGGCGCAGGAGCCGCTCCGCCTGGGACACTGCTGAGGGCTCTCAGGGGATGTTCCCGAGGGGTCCCAGACCGCAAAAGGGCACAGGCTGGGCTGAGGGACCGTCTCCGGTGCACCGGGCCTCTAGTTTGATACATGAACAGTCATTTGTATGCACACAGCCAAACTCAGAATTCCTGAAGTTCTCACTGGGTTGTGATAAAGGGTCTCTTCTAAGCCCCAGCCCTGTTTTGGGCATCCAACAGGCAAAACCTGAATTAGGTTTCTATTTACACTGAAGCCTGATTTCTCAGTGGCCTCGTCAGGTTGGAAATGAGCCCGTTAGGGTCAGAAGCCCCTTCTCTAAGCCTTAAGAATACCGATGAGCAAAGAGGCCACCTGCTCTGCGGAGAACTGTATCTACATTCCATCACCTGGGAGCACACACAGTCAGAAACAACCGAAGGGGCCGGACCCCAA